AACGTTTTGGGAGATATCTCAGTGCCACAAATTGTTCTGGAGTGAGTAATGTCAAAGTCAATAAAGGGTGCATTAAATCACAAGAGAGGCTTAGAAAGATTGGTGCCCCCCTTAGCTGTGATCCGAATGGCGGCAGAGAGAAGAGAAACATACAGAGCTACAGGTGGTGTGCTAAGGACACAACCAAAAAGAAGAATCGCCAGCGCCTCCTTAAACGAGGAAGCTGACGCTCCACGGATGGAGGTCCTAGCAGCAGCAGCCTGATTCTCCGGGTGAAGCAGGCGGGAAAGACCTTCAGGGCGGGGATCCCCTTTGAGCACCAGCGCTCCTTGGAAGAATGGGACGGCTCCTAACTTTATAAGGAGTCACCCTGGTCCTACTAACTTTTAAACATACAGAGATTTTGTTTTAATATTCTTGTTCTTATCTTTGTTTTAGTTTAATTTAATTGAAGAATTGTATTTATCAAAAGAGTAAAGTTTTCTGTATAATTGTACAAGACCATGTTTTAAAATGTTCCAAGTAACAAAATATTTCGAAAGAAAAAACATTTCCTGTTCACACTAGCTGTTATTGAGCAGGATTCATTGTGATGTTTAATTAAATTCAATTTCAGATCAGAAATTTTAGTTCATGCACTTCAAAACAAGGACTTAAATTTTTCTAAATTAAAATAAGTAGTTATTTTACCTTGATATTGTGAGTGAAAATAATGGAGAAATGTGTGCTCTTTAACTAGGTGAGGGCAGTTTTTTCTTGCATATTGTGAAATAATTAGTGTAAATTGGCAGCATTAAGTTAAAACGCACAATACAATATTAATGAACTTAAAAAACAATGTTTAGACAACTCATCTCTTGTTAAATAAACTTCATCAACTTTAATTTCTGGGTGAGATGCAATACAATTTTCTTGTTGACTTAAATTACATTTTCAAGGCAGCAAGTGGACTTTTATTTTCAAGTTAAATCACATTCAAATGTTTTACAGTGTATGAATATTTTCTAGTGTTGCCCCTTGGAGACACAATATGAAGTTCTCCACAGAAATTGTTATTGCAATTTGGATGCATCAACTCCCTTCAAGTAAATACCCACAATTCCTGCAGTATGTTGTCAGGATGAGGTTCTCATCTCTTTAGCCACATAGCCAGTCTAAGTTCACCCTAAGAAAGAAATAAGTTTTACATTTCAATATAACTTTAACTGTGCTTTGATTTTTACAGTCCTTCACTGCTGTTTGAGACAAGAGGGTCAGTATTAGAACCGAATTTAACTCCTAAGAGGAATCTCATTCTTCTGCTCCAATTAATTTGTATAAACTTGTAGTTCCTCTATGGAACGGAGCTACAACAGTCTCAAAATTCAGAAATGCACAGAACAAGAGTCATACTTGTATTTTTCATGCAAACACAGACAACTCTTGATTTAGAAGCTGCTGTTGGCCTGAGATGTGCTTCATTTGTGTGAGTTTTGAGACTCCTCTGTCATCTCAATCCACAAATGTCTTTTTCAGTAAATGGTCTGTCTGGATGATCAGATAAGACCATCAGATAGCTTCCTTGTTCGAGCCAGTCATATGAATGGACCCCCACTTTGGGGTAACCTTTGTTTTAACATTAACCCATTCCAAAAGGGCTGTATCCATGCTAAAGCACGGACAGTTTAGACCTCAACCTGGCTCCTGGCATCGACAGAAGAGCAGTAAGTGAAATATTTATACTAACATACTTAGCTAGTTATCTCCATGTTATGATTATTAATGTTAAGTGATTTAATTGTGCAACTATCAACACAAGCTAGTTGTAAGCTCTGCTGCCGAGCTATGCTGCCGCTTCTGCAAGCTAATAGCGTCAGGCTAGTTTCTTTCTATAGAACTACATAAGTTGAATTTATTCAAGGTTATAATAATAGCCTTTGTATATTATGAATTATTACAAAGCTGTGGTCCTTAAATGATAAATGATCTTAGCAACATAATAAATCACTTAAGTCATGCTTTTCAGAAACAAAGTGATTTTTTTTTTTACTTATTCTGAATATGCAATCTGCCAAAATATGTACCCAGCTCCAAAATACACATTGATGTGCATTTCTTCAACTTGCAGGCCACATGCAGTTTGTAATCAAGATATATTTATGTTTGCATCAGAAATACAAGTGTGAATCTTGTTCTGTGCATTTGTGAATTATGATACTATTTTAGCTCCATACTATGGTGTGTGTGAGTCTTCATTCAAAGACCTCTCTCCTGTATCTGAATGTTGTATTGATCTAGTAGGCATGGACCTATGTCCTAGAATAGAGCAAAGGTTGTGCATTGTGTACATGTGTATTTGGAGAACCCTGACCACCCGACCCAAAACACGATGAAGTAACTCCCTGCTCCCCGTTTCCAAGGACAGTGATGGCTTTATGATTTGACTTGCAAAACAGCTGAAAGGAGGGAGAAAATACAACGCAAGAGAGGTAGAAGAAATGTTTCATGGTGCGATGCTGTGAGATCTGCAGGTGCTCTGAGCTGCGAACAGAAGGCATATGGACGACTGGTCCGTATCCGAGCCTCCATAAACCAGAGCCAAATCCCGGAATGACTTCTTTCTATTCACAGCTGAAGCTAACTAAAGATTGATATTTGTTTTTTGGTGCAGGGCAGCTTTCCAAGAAATGCATGTGTGGCGATTTGTATGTCTGTGGTCTGTGCACACACTTTTGTCTGGGATTTCCATGTAAGTGTGTAAGTGCAAGCTGGCCAGTGTGCTTCTGGCTGTGTGAGATGTTGTGTGGGGCTGTGGGGACAGGTGTATGTGAGCTGCAATTTGGGAAGAGAAGCACTCAGTGAGGAGAAGCTATACCTGGACTCTGTTGTGCTGGAGAAGGGAGGACGGAGGAAGAAGAGAGTTCTGTGAGGCGGAGGAGAAAAAAAGAGAAGGAGAGTGGAAGGACTGGCGAGGAGGGGAATAAAAGGGGAGAGATTCAGGGGTGACAAGAAGACGGCTTCCTGGCTGCATTTTCCCTTTGCTGAGTCTCCACACTCCCCTCTCTCTGTTCTGTGTTTTGCTTCATTGTGAGAGGGTCAAAGAAACAAGGAGAGTTTTAGAATTTAATATTAAAAAGAGAAAAACGAAGCCAATTTTCACTTTTTTTTTTCTCCTTGTTTTGGACTGCGATCCTGGCTGTGTTACAAACAGATGTCTCTTGTCATTTGCTCACAATGCAGCAGAGTAGCTTGTACAATTAATAGGTTGAATAATTACTGCCCCTTTTGTTTTGTTTTTTGGGGTAGTTATGATAATTACTGGTATACGGTTAAATTGTTTGAAAATTATTAAAATTTTCTGTCTTTCCCCCTTTCTTTCTCCCTCTACAGTTTCTGTTCTTCCTCACTTTGCTTTCTTTTATTTGTCTCATTCTTTTCTCACCCCTCTGCTGCCTGAGCTGCTTTTTTGGAGCAGTTTATTGTTTGTAGTCTTTAAATCTTTTTTTTTTTTTTTTGATGGGCCACAGTGGACGTGACAGCCTTTAACTTCTGCTACAGCTGTGTAGGCCTCCCAGAGTAGAGTCCCTGGAAGCTAAACATGAAGGCAAATTGGTAAGTTACCACCTTGCAAATGTGCTCCAGAGCTCTGTTTTGTCCAGCTTTGCTGTTTGGTAGTCACCATCAGTCGATGGTGCTGCTGAATGGGGCGTGGTGCTGCTTTCTGCTGATGTTTGCTGTGTATGAGCAAAGTTGCGAGAGTAAATACTACTTGCTGGCTTGGCAGTGGCTCTCTTTTTACAGTGTGATATTATGAAGGGGTAAGGACATACTACTTCCTCACCTCTCAGTTCTTCAACTCCTGTGACCCCTCATTCCTTCTTGGCTATGTTGCTTGGTAGACTGTGCAATGCTGGGTTCGGCGGGTGTCGCCACTCAGCACTGAAAAACGCAGGTTTTGGGCTTTAGAGGGTCTTCATACATACACACACACACACACACACACACACGTGTGTGCAGACCGAGATATACATATACTGGAGCGGTTTGGCGGTGTGGGCCATTGCGGTCCCACAGACCCCAGCGACTCTTTGTTCACCCTATCTCAAGCTATCTTTCAGCTCCCTGACAAAGACCCTATGACATACTTTAGGGAACATTGCAACAGCTTCAAAGTCAGATGTTTCACTTAAATTCAGGCAAATGGAAAAGTGTAGAAGGAGTCTACAAGTGGAAATTTGACCACTTACTTTCTTTTTCATTTGAGTTTTAAAGGTTTTACCCTCTTGGGGTGCTCAGTTTGTCTGGTTTGAACCGGGGTGTGTTGAGGAGATGGTATCTTTTGGTGCTCTCAAGATTCAATTAGAATCAGAAATTACACACATTTATTTATTATTTGATTATTTTGTATGTCTTTTATTTTACAACAAAAAAACTAAATCGGTTTGTTCTTTTTCCACAAGCTGTTTTTGTTGTACATCAAGATTTTTGTCTTGTAATTTTGCAAATTTTTATAGACATTTTTTTAAGATAGGTCACTAGTTTTATTAAGTACCTTGTGGAAACAAATATAAAAATTTCTGCCTAGTTTTTGTTTACATTTCAACAAATTTTCCAAATCATTATTGCCAGAATTGTGGTGCATGGGGGCAGGGCCGTGCAGAGAATAGTAAAGGGGCAGGTGCTCAAAAAAAAAGGGCACATCAAATCACATTTCAGGACAGAATATTAACAAAGTCACACAGCTCTCAGAGTTTAATTAACAATGACAGATTACAAAATTGTGAGACATACAATCAAAGAACATCTGCTTGGGTTGCTGTACTTGCAGTGGAGATGACGGTCCATTCAGAAAAACAGAGCTGCATCAAACTTTAACGTGGAACTGCAGAAAAAAAACAAAAGCAAAAATGTAACTAATGCATGTCACTATGAGAAAAGACTACTCTAATTGTGTTTTAGTGTATTTTGTAAGTACCTATGTACATTTTCTTCAATCTTTCCTCTTCTTTTTTTCTTGTCAGTTTCTCTTTTTTCCTCATTGTCTCATCTTCTCTGTGTTGAGTGAAGTCTTATTTATTTCAGTCTCTTGCCTTTTAACTGTTTAAAAACAAATTTCAAACTTTTAAGCATTTTTTGCTGTTTTTGTTCTCTTTTGTTTCATAGCAACAGTTTTCTGTTGGTCATGTCTTGAAGAATGTTAATAACCTCACTGTGAATGATTGGCACAGTTGACCCAGTTGGTCAACAATCCACTGCCTTTCTTTTTGTTTCTGACGTCTCTCTTTACGTGGCGTCTTTGAACTGAAAAAAGCAAAACAAAGAATTATGATCAGAACACTATAATAAACCACACTACCAATTCTTTACCCTTGTGTTTAAACCAATATGTTTTTTCAGTCCATAGCATAACAATATTAATTTCAGAGAAAATGAGACCTCTCCTATGGAGTTCAATTGGTTCACAATTATTCAATTAAAATACTAACCTCAATTAAATAATATAAAATTGTGATCAAGACATTTTGAATTGTAACATTTTTTTCAACAAAAAAAGTTTAACTTAATTTTTTTTTAACTAAAATCACAAATTTTTATCTCATGACTTAAAAAAAATTATTTGCAAAACAAACAAACTTATTTGTGCATGTCAGAAATCTTTGCTTGCTATTCAAAGTTTTGCTTACGATTCTCACATAACGTCTGGGGAGAGCCTAAAATCAAAACCAAAGATTTCTGATGTGTGCAAATAAAAGTTTATGTTTGCTCCTTCATTAATGACATGCTTTTATTGGACAGAAACAGTTTGATTATTACATACATTATATCTATCATGGTAGTTCAGGATGAGTTATTTTTAATTCTAAATGAATATCCTTGTTGGACTTTTATTTAAATTCTCCTTCAAGATACATTTACCTAATGCTAGAATAAATGCAATATACATCATTCACCAAAGAAAATTAGAAAATCGGACATATATCCATTATGGAGATGATAGGTTTTGGACGGGCGATGTGCCCCTATTGCATAAGTAATACTGAAGAATGACTACTGTCATTAACAATACAGGGAAGCTATTTAGTTACCTTGCTTTGCTAGCAAAGTCATTAGCTAGCAGCTAGCTCATAGCACAACAACAGCCTAATGTCTGATGATAAAAATACTGGATCGATAGATAAGAACAGCTTTTCCTCACCTGTCTGTCTCCTCCCCTCAGTTTATTCAGAGAAAGGACTTAGAGACTTATATTCTCTAAGACGCCTGTCTTGTTATATTTCATTTCTGCTTAAACCGCGACTCCGTGCTGAAGGAGAAACAATACAACATTTAACGTTTTCCGTTATCTGACAAGTAGCAAGCCGACTCCAGTGTTTTCACCAAAAATATTTTTTTTCAGTTCACCAAAAGCTGTTTTGTAATCTGGAACGTCACTAGCTTGAGCTCCGCAGTTAGCCGCCTTATCTCACCGCGGGAGAGGCAAGTGCGTCGTGCGTCACGGGCAAAAGGTCAAAGGTAACAATATGACCGGAGGGCTTATTGTGTTGTAATAATAAAAATAATAGTAATATAGTAATAATTGTAATACATGTGTAAGGAAAAAAACAAAAAAAAAACAAAAGGGCACTTGGGGCCATGGAGCAAAAGGGGCAGGTGCTCAAGCCCCCAAAGCACCCCCTTCTGCACGCGCCTGCAGGGGGGTTTAGTGACTGAACTCTCAAAAACCATTCAGCACACAGATGTTTAGAAAGCAGCACTGTCCTGTCCTGTAAACTGTGGATGTTTATTTTGTATGGCGCATTGCTGCCACCTGCTGGATTTTTAGGGAAATGTTTTACTTTACGTTATTTAGCCAGTACGCTTGTTTGCTAGCGATAGAGCAGGTGTTCAGACGGGTGCCTTATGAACGGCGTATTCAGATCGAGTTCTTCGACGCAATGCCTGTAGGTATACTTAAAATGAGCATTTGTGTTAATGTGTGAGAAACAAGTTAAGTTGTTTATCAAATTTATGTTGTTTTGTGTTGGCAGTTTCACTCCATTCTGCGTGAATAAAGGAAGAACTGAATAATCCTGACTCGTATGAAAGGAGTTTCGCTGATGGTTAGCTTTGGCACTAGACAGGATAGCGAGACCATTACAAGCACTGTTTTATGAAAATCATTTTCTTTAAAATTTCCTTTCAGAATATTTCTTTTCCTCAGCCACAGGTCTCTCTGATTGCCTCTGGATACAGTGAGGGATACAGTTGGAGAAAAGTGATGTGCAAAAGCTGGCAAAACAAGCAATGCTCAGTTAACTTTACTAGTTGTGGTCATGATATAGGGCTTCAATCTGTAATTTTGCAAGTCAGAGGTTGTTGTGTGAAGCTAGGAAAAAGTTCTGCTTAGTTCAGGTACTTTTAAACAAAAAAGAAACAATAAAGAAAATGTTGACTTAAAACTGTGATCCATAAAATCTGCTGAAATACAACCCAAAAGATCATTTTAGTAGTAATTGTTGACATCTTGGCGATAGAATCATTAAACAAATTATTTTTTCCAACATTAAAAATCTGTTAAGGGCCGAAGATGGCAGCATAGCAAGCGGTCGACTTCGTCTAGCTGCGCACCACATGTTCTATATCTGAGCAGAATACCACCCACTTACTAAGACTTTTCAACTAAATGTGGTAATACGAACGCTGATAAACGCTCCTCCGAATCACTCCAGCATAATGCCGCCCAAAATCCTAAAGAAAATTAACAAGACCGGTGAAGTGGAGTCTCAACTGGCTAATGCAGAGCTTGCTGCTCAACTGCCAGAAGCTGGTGGGACCACTACACTCGACCCTGCTCTTCGCCAAGTCATTGAGAAAATTACTGGGAACATTTCATCAGTAATCTCCCAGAAAGTAGACATTCTGACTGAAATGCTTCAGAGCCAGGCCATGGAGATCAAAATGCTGGTCAGACGCATTACAGATGCGGAGGACAGGATTACAGCTCAGGAGGATGGCCTTGACCAGGCTGCAGCCCGCATAAAAAAGTTTGAGAAAGAGGCCCTCACTATGGCTCAACGAATTGACGACATCAAAAATAGAGGCAGGAGAAAGAACATTTGGGTGCTTGGTCTAAAAGAGGGCATGGAGGCTGGTTCTGGAGACCTAAAATTTTTTGAAAAATGGTTGCCCGAATTTCTAGGAGTCGAGACCAAGAGAGGCCGGATCAAGCTTGAAAGGGCACACCGAACACTGGCTCCACAACTCTGACCTACACAGAGACCCAAGACCGGTGCTGATCAGATTTCATAATTACCAGGATCAACAACAGGTTCTCGAAGCTGTGCAGGGAGCGGGAAGCCGCAACCAGCTCTTGATGTATCAGAACTCTAAGATCATGTTCTTACAGGATTTTTCGGCAGACACCAGGTGCAGGCGGAAAGGATTCGATGCGGTAAAGCGACGGCTGCGGGAGGCAGGCATCCAGTACTCCCTTCTTTACCTGGCCAGGTTGAGGATTATGTGCGATGGAGAAGCAAAGATTTTTAATTTGCCGAATAAAACAGTGGAGTTTATGGATAGTGTAGCATGAAATAACACCAGCGGAAGATTATGGAGGCAAACGCTCTGGTCACTATCAGAGGTTTGATCTTTAACCATGTTGTGATTCTTTTTGTTCTCTTCTTCACTCATAAGGACAAGTAATGTGTTAATTATGATTATGAATCTTCAACGTGATCTGCTCAGCTACATTTTCCTGTGATTTTTTTGTGGTGCACGGCAGCGATGGATATGTGATGGACTTTCTCTTTTGGGTTCATCTGTCTGCGTGTCTTCATCAGGGAGATGAGACACACAGGCTTGGTTAAGGAAGGGATGGCCCCTGTGTGTTTAGGGGGAAAACGAGCCTGGAAAGTGCATTTTTTGTTCTGTTCTGTTTTATTTTGGTTCGAGTCTGTTGGTTTTGGTTAATACCTGTTCAGCTCAGCACATTGTAGTCCTTATATGTAATCATTATTTGGGTGGCATTACATTATAACTTTGGATTATAAATGCTAAGAATATGTACATGGAACATTAAAGGAAGTCATTAAAAGTCAATTAAAGAAAAAGGTCCTTCTAGCCCTAAAGAAGGAAGGTGTAGATATAGCGCTGCTGCAGAAGACACATTTAAACGACTTTGAACATTGAAAACTACAGCAATGCGGTTTTGAACATGTTTTTTTTCTCCTCTTTCACAAACAAAAGTAGAGGAGTTGTGATTCTTATTGAAAACTGTCCCCTTTAAAGTAATAGAATGTATTAAAGACACGAGCAATGATAAATGGGGAAGAATTTGCCATACTGAATGTCTATTTTCCACCGGGTCATCTATTAACTTCTTAACGGAAATAATGGCAAAACTCTCTCTTGACATTGTAGGAGGTGATTTTAATTGCCTTAAAAATCCACTGATTGATAGACTACCCATTAGCCCCCTTCCCATTTCAGGTAAGTCAAAACAGATTTTTGATCTTTTTGAGGAGGCGGGGTTTGTGGATGTATGGAGAAAACTCCATCCTGCTGGAAAGGAATACACTTTCTATTCCAACCCTCACAAATGCCACACATGTACTGACTATTTTTTTGCTCCCTAAAATTATTTTAAGACAAGTTTCCTCATACAAAATAGGACACATTGTTATATCTAACCATGCTGCAGTGTATCTAGATTATACCTTTAAAAATTCTAGGGTTCAGTCAAATCACTGGAGACTAAATCCTTTCATTTTAAAGGATGGGAAATTAGTGGAGTATTTTAGAACAGAATTCAAACAGTTTCTTGCTATCAGTTCTTCTGCTAGCAGCCCCTCCTTGCTTTGGGACACAGCAAAAGCATTTAGTAGAGGATTGATATTATCATATACTTGCAACAAAAAACAACAAATTGCAGAACAACAAAATATATTGGAAGGGAAGCTTAGACTTGCAGAAGAGGAATATATAAAAAACACCATCCCCCAAGTTGGGGGAGCTCATTGCTATCCGGTGCTCGCAGAACGCTACAGACAAAGTCAAATTTGCTAAACAAAGATTGTTTGAACATGGGGATAAACCAGGTAGATACCTTTTCTGTCTTAAAAAACATGGAAGTCCTCCCAAACAATTGCTTCAAATTCTGACCGGAGGGGTTCATGTACTACAAACCCGGAGAAAATAAATGCAGCTTTCTTTGAATTCTACAAAGTCTACCAATCTGAGCAATGTGACAACCCCCAAACTTCAATGGGAACTTTTTTCTCAA